TATATATGTGGTAGTATATATACACACACACACATATATATATATATATATATATATATACATAAATATGTATATCTATATTATAGGTGTAAATATTTATATTTTTTCTATATATATTTTGTTTACATATATATATTCATATATTCATATATTGAATATAAATTTAGACATACAAGAGACGTAAGACAATATACATATTCATATAATAAAGTGTCATGTGAATATTCGTCATCGAGTGTGATCTGGAAGTAGAGATTGAAGAAAAATCTATGTGTGCCATTATAACTAGAGAATAAAATCATATTCTCTATTCACTTGATCCATTTAAATAGCTGTATATGATTTATTGATTTTAAGACCAAATTAAATAAATATATCTATACTCACTGAAAGTTTGTTGCAACAGCCATAGTTTACTGGCTATTCTCGGGCTATTCTTAATGGTGTTGTATAGCTCTGTGCTTTGATTCTTGTACTTCGTGGTTTCATTCACTCGCTTCAGCTTAAAAGTATGTGTGGGGCAACTTATTGTCAATGCTGAATGCCCCGGGCTCAACAATAAAGGAACCCTTTGTTTAGGGTTTTAGGGTTTCTTTGAGCTTGCACGCCTTGTGCATGTCTAGACTAGCTCTATAGCCTCTCTCAAGGCTCTCAATGACTCAGTCCTGGAGATTCCGAAACTTTCAGTTCTGTACTGTTCAGGGTTCAGTGAAGTTCAGTATTGACTGTTGAGAACTTGAGTATTGACTGTTGACTGTTCACTCATCACTGTTCAGTGTTGACTGTTGACTGTTGAGTGTTCAGTTGTTCAGTGCTCACTGTTCAGTGTTCACTCATCTAAGATTCAGAAATGTATTTATAAGTACATAGTTTATAATTGCCGCACTTTGTATAAAGAATAAGCAAAACAAAAAAAGGACTTATGCACCTCGGTCCTCACGACCTCTCCTCTCGGCTCTCAGGCAGACTCAGCCACACAGAGTCTCTAGACTCAGGCGTCAGCCTATGCAAATATATATATATATATCAATGCACATATATATTCAATGCACATGTATATGTATATATCAATGCACATGTATATGCATACGTCAATACACATGTATATGCATATATAGATGCACATGATGTATATGTATATGCACATTGTGTATGTATATGTATAAGTAAATGTACGTGTAAATGTAATGTATATGTATATGTCAATTAAAGTATATGTATATGTAATATGTATGTAATAAATATGTAAATGCACATGTACATGTAAATGTAAATCCACATGTATATGTAATGTATAGATATATGTATAAACAATGTATATCTAATGTATCTGTATATGTATCTATGTATGTATATGTAGTATGTGTACGTACGTATGTATTTGTATATGTGTACGTGTATGCGTACTCGTGTGTACTTATATGTATACGTGTGCACGAACACGTGTACGTATATATGTATGTGATTGTAATTATTATGCAATTTTGGAATGTACACGTGTAAGAATGTTTATAGATGCCTGTATATACGAATGTATATACCCAATGTATATACACATGTATATGTGTATGCACATGATATGTATATGTAAATGTGCATGTATATATGTATGTTTAAGTGCATTTGCATGTGTATGTTTATGTGTCCCGTATATACATCTTGTAGATGTAGACATACGTGTACATGTATATGCACGGATTTATATTTATATATATATGTGTGTGTGTGTGTGTGTGTGTGTGTGTGTGTGTGT